CAGGAGTGAAGAAGTCTTTCGAAAAAGGAAAAAGTTTAACGTAGGATATTTTTCCCATTTTGTTATTGCGTAAACCCGGGTAGCCATAAACAAACGAATGAGAAACAGCTAAACATCTTACACATGTAAACAATGGAAAAGTTGCATATTCGTTATGTTTGTATTTTATAATACGATATAAATATGTGAATATTACATGCATTATTACTGGATACATCAGTTTTATCAAAATCATGTTTATTTTAAATACAGCTATACTTTTTAACTGCAGTAAATGGATACGTAGTTTGGTCAACGGCGTAGCCAAGAGTAGCAGTACATATGGCAATTTTACATCTCGAGTATAATGCGACGCGCTTAAAATTAAGTTCAAAATTCAGTTTTCAAAAATGATCGCATGATATATATATATATATATATATATATATATATATATATATATATATATATATATATATATATAATATATCGCATATATATGAAACTCCGAGAGTCAGGATTTCGGTGAGGATATATATATATATATATATATATATATATATATATATATATATATATATATATGCAAAATGTGATGATGGATGTACTTTGGAAATTTGTAAATTTTCTAAGCGTTTTACTGTACACACATTCGCGTATATAAAAAATATAGAAATAATACTTTTGCCATCTCTCTCTCTCTCTCTCTCTCTCTCTATATATATATATATATATATATATATATATATATATATATATATATATATATATGAGGATGAACCAGTAACTGCATCCGACTGTTCCAATTACATGAATTCTGATTTGATATTTTCGGTAGGTTTGATTAATTGCCATAGTCTTCCAGGAAAGATATATCGAAAATAATTTCGCGTAAAATCTGCTTTTGTCATAATTAGATATAGGGATTAATTGATATATATATATATATATATATATATTATTCCATATATATATCTATATATATATATATTTATATATATATATTTATATACATATATATATATATATATATATATATATATATATATATATATATATATATATATGTGTTTGTGTGTACAACTAATATCCATAATTAATAATCCTTCTTTCATGCTCGTTTCATTGAATATGACAGACAAGGTGCTTTGATTTAGTTTTTTATACAATTTCTCATTTGATTTTATAATTTTGATTTTATAATTTTTTTTCGGCACGTAAATTATATAAAAACTGTTCTACTTTTCTTTTTTCCGAACGCTTTCGGCTATACATTTAGCCATTTTCAAGGTTGAAATATATAAACTGTTAACAAGAAATAGATTATTGTATGTATGTATTCATATACTGTTTGAATTTTCAGAACAAGGTCAAGATATTGTGTCAATGTTCATAGTTGATATTATTGAGTGTTGTTTTTTTGTTTTTTTTATTATTAAGGCTTCCGTTGTTTTTAGTTTTTCTTACATCTAGACGATGATATTATGTTTGTGCTATGTTACGAATAGGGTCTAATAGGTCTCCATGAGTATTTAAACGACACATAATTGAGCTATGATCAGAAAGATGTAGAGTGAGTCTTCTTGTCAAACATGTTGTAGTGTGGCCTATATAATTGTTTACAAGTTTCGATTGATCAGGAATACAATTCCTTAATTGACATTTAAATTCATAAATAACATTTATTCCATTTAATTTTGTCCTGGTGAATTATTATATTTAACTATATGGTTGGCAGTTTTAAATTTTTTGTAATAAAATAATTAATCTAATTTTTTTGGTTTTGTCTACTCGTGTTGTGCATTTTTATAATATTTTTAATTTTAATTTCGTTTTGTTTATAATTTTCGTTCATTTCATTTTTATAAAAAATATTAATGTTATAGTTTATGTTTCTCTTCTCGGCGTTTCTATTAGCTATATTAGACAGAAAAAAACTAATATGGAAATCCAACAATTGATTAGGAAATCCGTTATTAATAAGCGTTTGTTTTACGTTATTTAATTCTTTAGAGAAGACCGTGCGAGAGGATGAATTCTCATGCGGTCTTTTGAGGAAATTTTTAACACCTATTTTATATCTAAGAGGACATTTACTAGAGAAATTAAGATGGCAATAGTCTTTATTAGTTTTTTTTTTTGTAATAAACTGAAGTTGTAAATGTATTATTATTAAAATCAACGAAAACATCTAAGAAAAGTTCATTTTTTTTCACTGGATTCACAAGTAAAATTTATAACGGACAATTGGACAATTTTTTATGTAATTTATCTATGGGAAAAAGATTATAAGATCACATGAGAAATTGTATAAAAAACTAAATCAAAAAACCTTGTCTGTCATATTCAATAATATATATATATATATATATATATATATATATATATATATATATATATATATATATATATATATATATATTTCAATAAAGGTGCAATTAATTTACAAATTCATGAATTATTCATACAAAAACAAATACAAAGGTTAATGATTTAATTGGCGAAAATCCAGAACTTGTTTTCAAATATATAAAAAAGAACCTTTTCATGAATAAAAAGGTTCCTTGTTTTAACGAAATTTGAAGAAACAGGACGATGGATTTCGCCAATTAAATCATTAACCTTTGTATTTGTTTTTTTGTATGAATAATTCATGAATATATATATATATATATATATATATATATATATATATATATATATATAATGGACTCTCCCGTCGGTTTCGACGTATGAGGATCTGCCAGCTTATTGATTCAGTTATGAAAGTTTATGCGCTAATCGTAAGTGGCATTTAAGACCCGCTAGTGATTTACAAAGGAGGCCACATATGGAGCAAGTGTGAGGATTGTGAGATGAGATCACTGTTATATATTTTATATATATTTGTTCAGTTACATGAAAGTCAGAAAGTCATTTTATTCGATATAAATTATTGCGTCATATAAATTAATTATATCGGAGCATTGTTTTTACTTTGATGTAACGACATTAGTTTAAGAACATGAGAGACACTCACAAAAGCAGCAGTGAATTTTAGTTTCTTGTGTCCGTGGTTAGAAATGCAAATACTATTTATACGATAAACAGCAACCATTCTGTTGATGGCCGATCCTTCTATTCGGAAAATGGATTACAGACGAATAATTGATAAGATAAGCTTCGAATTTTCTTTTTGCTCGGGGCGGGAAAAGGCAGGAAACGTTGGTCAATGTTTGCAAGGAGTTTAAAGAAAACAAATATAATTTTTTTATCAGGTTGTACCAGTCGACGAATGGACATTGCACAAGTGAGATCAGAGAGAGAGAGAGAGAGAGAGAGAGAGAGAGAGGGAGAGAGAGAGAGATCGGAACTTGTATATTTGGAAATTTGGGCCAAGAGTTAACGGACGTATTCGCCCGCGTGACAGCTCAAGGCTTTTAAGTGATATATAGCCAGCCAAGATGGATGGGTAATCGAGTCTGCAAATATAAATCAGAGCGATCAAGGGAACTGTCAAGAATTTTATTGGATGCCTTATTTTTCTGCCATTTCATACTATTATGGCAAAGACAATCGCGAAAAAATTGGCAATATGATTCTTGGAGAGAATAGATGAATGAGAAAAAATGCTTTATATCTTTGGGGCTCGTGAATGAATGGCAACGTAGATTTATTGTAATGATGTATGATATCAAGTTATGATATTAACGAATGTTGATATTGTCTTAATATGTTTAGTTTCGATCTTACAAAAAAAGAAAGAGCTTAGGGATAAAGTGTAAACATTTTAGATTTTGCAGTCAGGGTTTCTAAACAGATTCCGAATTATATTTAGAGGACTACATTTTTTTAAAAATCACTTCACCCAAAGCAAGGCAATAAAGTCACTAAGAGGCAAGATGTTGGAGAATAAGTGTTAGCGAATAAGAAAAAAAGATACAGTTAAAGAGTGAAAACAATAAAAGAAGAATTAAGAAGACAGAAGCTAACGATTGACATTGCATTTAAATATTTGAGGAAGAAGCCGAAGACAATTTCTACAAGCGAAAGAACTTACGGTTATATCTCACCATTTCAAATGAAAACGATGAGACATTGTTGTCAATCTAGTGATGCATTTAAACTAATAAAGTTTAGGTTATACAAGGAAGTACATCAGAACAATGAAAGAATTTATAGAAAAGGCACAGGGAAGCAATATTACTGCGGTAGAAAAGTCACTAAAGTCGAGATGCCAGGTCAAGACCAATAACATTGCAGATTCTTCTTTGAATTTTTTCAAGAATCTCTAAATATATAGCAAGAGAACTAGACCAGATGTGGCAGCAATATTCAAAGCAAGGATGAACGGTAGACTCATAAATATGTAAGATAGTTTCAGGCGAGAAGAACTCTTGCTACAGTCTTTAGGCCCATGCATTCTTGGGTCTTCCTCAAGTTTACAATCTGAAATGAAAAAAAATTTATAAAAAACAATTAAGATAAGGATGATTTTTCTCGCTGGATTTATTTAATGCATCCAGCGAGATAATTCCACAAGAAGAAGAATTATTACCGGCTGTAATAATCGTAGCATATAATACGCAGATGACACTGTGTTGATAGCAGACTAAAATACCTAACAGAACTATCATATGACTCAGTAATGGAAAGCAAGAAGGAAGGACTATTACCTGTAAGAAGATAGAATGACTTGTTGTCAGCATAGGGGGCAGCCTAAGTTGTAAGCTACGTATTAGGGACGTCAAAATCAAGCAGGTACAGAAATTCAATTATATGAGTAGTGTAGTAAGAGACTATGGAAAATGTGAGACAGAAATTCAAAGGCTTATAGAAATAAAAAAAATATGCCTTCCAGAATTTAAGCAACGTATTTAGAAAATGAAAAAAGAAAAAAAAATGTCGTACAGGGTGAAGGAAAGAAGGAATTCTGAACTACTGTTTAATATCTAATCTCCTATCTGGTAGTAGATTCGTGAAAAATTGTCTAAACGATGAAAGAAGTCCTGGACCGAATGGGCTTACGGGAACATTAGGTTTGAACACCGGTTCACGTAGAAACACCGAAGTTAAGCAACATCGAACCAGGTCAGTACTTACATAGTTGACTTCTTGGGAATACCAGGTGCTATAAGCATGGATGTGACGATGGCGTAATGGATAGTGGGTCGGAATTGTTAATCAGAGAGCTGAGTTCCAATTCCCGTTGGGTTCGTTATATTCATTTTCACACAAATTACCCTTGGGAAGCGTGTGAATCCACCTCTCCTCCCCTCCATCTATGGGTTAATTAATAAAACTTATATCACTAAACCATACCTAACGAAACATTCTTACTATCTCAAAATATTTTCTGGCTTTAAATAACTTGTTAAGATACAGAAAACGAATAAATCTGAAGCAACAGAAATGTTTTTCTCAGCCAACGAATGATAACAATATCATGGACGGAACATGTAAGCATGAGAAAATCTGAAGGCAAAGAAGAGAATAAAAAGAAAAGTATACTTATAATCAGAATGAGACATCTGAAATTCATGGAGCACGCAATTAAAGAAAGAAAGTGTAGAGAAGTTAACACTCATAAAGCCTATTGAATGTTAAAGAAGCAGACAGAAAAGAAAACAGTTGATGTGAATGAGTAACATAAGAGGGACAAAGAGGAATGGCACGGTGTCAAATTTTATTTAGACTAAAAAAAAGAAGTTGTGGAGAGTGATGATCACCTACGTTCTGAAGGAACCTGTCACAAAATAGCATACACTGTATATTCTTGTGTTTAAGCCTACTTCATATATAGAGCGCCCTTAATATTATATTCTCAAATACGGATATCCACTAAAACAGCGTTTATCTAATAAAATCTACCTGATTAATAAGTAAAAAGTCATCATTTTCTTTTATATATATTATATATATATATATATATATATATATATATATATATATATATATATATATATATATATAGTTGTGTTGATGTGAGTTTGTGTCAATTCCTTCTGTATAAATAATATAGACAAATCACTTCGGCGTGTTGTCGTCAGCAAGCTTGTCTCGCTAGATCAATAACGGCTGAGTAGTGATTTCGATCCTCACTGCGCCACATCTAAGTAATAATCGCCCTAATATAGTATTGTAACCTAGGGAAGTTTACTGAATAGAATAATCACACGAAGTTTGGTAATGAACGATAATACTTAGGACAAGAACAACACATATAAGATTTGCCAGCCTCGCGTAGAAGTAGTAGTCAACTGCTAGAATTAAGTCAAGTGAATTCCCCAATGAATCTCCAACTGCAAGATATCTACCAACAGCCCCACGCGGTCAGATGTGGCACAAGACCGAATTTAATGTGGGCTATCCGAGCCTGTAGGTTCGGCCAAAAATTCCCCGTGGACACCTTATAAAACGGGATCGGGTAGCCTTTTTCCCGAAACGAGACTCTGCCCTCTGACTCTGACATAGCCTCGTCTGGGGATCCTCTCTGCCCGGATGTAGAGAGTTTGATCAGCACAGCTGGAGACATATCTTCAACTGCATACCAACATACATATTTTTTCAATTGCACTCTCGGTTGGTCTGTTATGTTGACCAAAAAAATTGTGAAGTGCTCTAAATGCATTTCTGTTTGAACGTCAATTTTCGTAACAAGCTTCGATAATTTTAATACGTTGTTTGTTTGTTAATCTTTGCATTGTTGAAATGGCCAAAGACTAAAATTGGTAGATCTGAAAGTAAAAGAAAAAAATCCTGAGACGCTAAAACTTAATTCACATTTAAAATCCGTCAGTTATTTACTTAGGTCAAGGACAGCATGGAAGTAGTAGTCAACTGCTAGAAGTGAGTCAAGTGAATTCCACAATGAATCTCCAACTGCAGACCAACATACAGTATTTACTGCTGTATTTATGTGAATGAGGCCATTATCATTCGTAAGTATGCTACAACTGTTTCGAATTTAACAGCATTACCGGTTCGAGAAATTTCGGAGAAAATATACGTTCTCCGACAGAAATCGAACGCGTATTCCTATACAAAATTTACATCCAGCTTTTTACAACATTTCTCCTTTTTTTGACAGTTTTTCGAACATGGAATAAAACAACAACAAAAAAAGCAAAAACAAAGGCGTAGGTATATAGAATGAGATCGTCTAGACATGTCAGGCGCCCCCAAAATTAGAAATTTAAAATTAAAAAATATTTAATTTTAAAGTTTATTTTTTTCAAGTTTTAAAATTTTAAATTGAGCTTACTAATATCTTCAGCGTTTCCCCTCAGTACGTAATTATTAACGAAATTTACGTTTATATCTTCCTTCCTTGGTACATATATATATAATTCCATCAATAAGAACATGACATTAGTTTGTTGAAACTCTTTTAGTGGACGAAACGCTGTACAGTGAATTTTCGCATATTCCCGTTCAATTTCTTAAAAACCAATTTTATCAAACGAAGGCAATAACGCCACTAAGACGCAAGGGGCTACTAGGAGTGAAAAAGAAAGAGATTACTTTAAAAGGAATCGGAAACGCAATCGTTAACAGGAAGCAAGTGAGAAGCTTTAATCCTGTTCAATAGGGGAAGGAGTGTGAACTAGGCGATAGACAAACCTTACCAAACATTGCTTTGATATATAAATATATATATATATATATATATATATATATATATATATATATATTCTACCATATACCACGCACAGACACACACATATCGGCTTATAGCAATCAGTTGTCTATCCGCACTGATGAGCTGTGATACAGCGAAAGAGCTCTGTATGTAGATGACATTATATATATATATATATATATATATATATATATATATATATATATATATATACGTGAGAGATTCATGGATGATGGAAGTTTAAAAGCAGTAAATTCAACCTTGCTAACCGATTGATCCTCTGTGGCGAAATCGGTAAAAGCACGTCAGGCTATATGACGGTTCCGTATAGGATACAGGACGAATATTTTCTATGAAAATTTCTCGGACATTCAGGCCGGTAAATGTTATTTAATACGGTTTATTATAAACAGAGCATTTACTTAAATATTTGTATCTATAAAAAGAATGTTAAACATAAAAACGTCTTATATATATATATATATATATATATATATATATATATATATATATATATATAGATATATATATATATATATAGCACATAAAGAGACAAACATTTATGCAAAAGAAGAATTAACCACGACATTGTACGCATGTGCACATGTAGATAGGTAAAAAGGCGTACGCATGCACACATAAATAAAAAAAAATTCAACATAACACTAATAAAAAGTGCAGTTTTTAAAAAAATAATATAAAATATAAAATCGGGAGACATTTGCCGATGCCTCCTGACGAGTGGATCGAACGATTGTACAAAGGTTCATCTCCGAAAATCTGGAGTCGGGTGCTCAATATAACAGTAACATTTTAAATGACAAAATTTATATTGTTTATATATATATATATATATATATATATATATATATATATATATATATATCTATATATATAATTTATTTATTTTAGGATATTAAAACAAAAATACTAAAAAAATAATATTTAGCTCTACTCTGTGCTGAGTTAAATTTTATGTACAGTGGAATTAATTAAAAAGAATTATTAAATTTTATGTACAGAGGAATTATACTCCATATGCTAGGACACAAAAACTTCTGAGCCGACCAAGCCAAGAAATGAATACAATATGGGAACCAATAATAAGGAGTGCCAGAAAAAAGCGATGATGACAACAAAAATTGCAATATGAGCTCTGGCAAAAACATAAATAGAGAACAGCAAAAATTGGAATATGAGCACTGGTAAAAATGATTGCTGAAGACATTAGGTTTATAATACCCAAAAATTCATACACAGATGTCCTCAAGGACACATAGTGGATAAAAGCGTTGATAAGATCAAATGACAGGATCCAAAGAGTGTGAGTTCAATACCCGGTTAAGGCAGTGGAGAACTTGGAGAGGGGAATTAACAGGAGTTAACTGATAACTAACATCCATTAAACATGACATGTGGAACTAGAACAGTCTAACTCAGTGAGCGAAATAAAGGGTTTAGTTCGACATTCCAACCACCTGAAGAAGGCCGGAGCGTACAACAGCCGAAACCTTGTAATAAATATGGCGAAAAAAAATGTGGACAATAGTCCGAATAATATAAATAGTTTATATAATACCTCATCTAAGAAATATAGATATATACTCAATTTATTCTCCTTCTACCTGTATATATATATATATATATATATATATATATATATATATATATATATATATATATATATATATTAAAAAGAAGAGGGTGCCATAAACGTTTTTTTTGGTTGTAATGTGGATTTATTGAAAAAAATATTATACTTTGTTTTACATAATTTCACGACACGTGTTTCTGGTCTGGTCTCGCAACCGTCTTCAGGTGAAAGTGGAGATTTTTACATATTATTAAAAATAATTAATTTTTCTTCATGTTCAATGTGGAATATTCTCGATATGAGACATATGGCAATTATTATTTTTAATAATATGTAAAAATCTCCACTTTCACCTGAAGATTTGTGAGACCAGACCCGAAACACGTGTCGTGAAATTATGTAAAACAAAGTATAATATTTTTTCTCAATAAATCCACATTACAACCAAAAAAAAACGTTTGCGGCACCCCCTCTTCTTTTTAATATACATACTTTTCTCTCGTTGGAACCACTACAACATATTTCTTTATATATATATATATATATATATATATATATATATATATATATATATATATATATTTGCAATATGGTCCAACTATGGAAAGATAGTAGAAAACAAACATTGCTTCCAGCTACAAAGGATAGCAATTTATGATTAATGATCACTCACATTCAGAATGGACACCTCACATAAAAGAATAATAATTTCAAAATATATTATATTATCTGCCTTAGTCAGCTATGAGTTTTATCTATACAAGTAAATTTCTTATGGAAGATCATAGTAGACGTAAATTGTATCCTCTGTGGCACATGAGTCATCGCCAAAATGAGCCAAACTTCTGGTTGATGATTGTCAACTCAACTTTTAACCGGAACAATCTTTACCTAGAAAT